CTTTTCCTTATTTATCACCAATCGCCTCTTCCTTATTTTATCACCAATCGCCTTTCCTTATTTAATATCACCAATCGCCTCTTCCTTATTTATCACCAATCGCCTCTTCCTTATTTATCACCAATCGCTCTTCCTTATTTATCACCAATCGCCTCTCTTCCTTATTTATCACCAATCGCTCTCTTCCTTTTCTATCACCAATCGCCTCTTCCTTATTTATCAACCAATCGCCTCTTCCTCATTTATCACCAATCGCCTCTTCCTTATTTATCAACCAATCGCCTCTTCCTTATTTATCACCAATCGCCTCTTCCTTATTTATCACCAATTATTTGTTTATTCTCTGGATTATTCTCATAATTTGTTAAGTAATTATTACCTGAAGGTGAATCCAATTATCACACCTTGTAATTATCACACAGGTAAGGTTTGGTTAGGTTAGGTTACCTGTACAAAGTAATTAAGAGGTGTGGTTTAACAGGTAACATATCGTCTAATCACCAGTTAAGACAGACAGTTAAGTTCTCTAATCACCAGTTAAGGCAGACAGTTAAGTTCTCTAATCACCAGTTAAGGCAAACAGTTAAGTTCTCACACCACCAGTTAAGGCAGACAGTTAAGTTCTCTAATCACCAGTTAAGGCAGACAGTTAGATACGTTCTCTTACCACCAGTTAAGGCAGACAGTTAAGTTCTCTAATCACCAGTTAAGGCAGACAGTTAGATACGTTCTCTTACCACCAGTTAAGGCAGACAGTTAAGTTCTCTAATCACCAGTTAAGGCAGACAGTTAGATACGTTCTCTTACCACCAGTTAAGGCAGACAGTTAAGTTCTCTAATCACCAGTTAAGGCAGACAGTTAGATACGTTCTCTTACCACCAGTTAAGGCAGACAGTTAAGTTCTCTAATCACCAGTTAAGGCAGACAGTTAGATACGTTCTCTTACCACCAGTTAAGGCAGACAGTTAAGTTCTCTAATCACCAGTTAAGGCAGACAGTTAGATACGTTCTCTTACCACCAGTTAAGGCAGACAGTTAAGTTCTCTAATCACCAGTTAAGGCAGACAGTTAGATACGTTCTCTTACCACCAGTTAAGGCAGACAGTTAAGTTCTCTAATCACCAGTTAAGGCAGACAGTTAGATACGTTCTCTTACCACCAGTTAAGGCAGACAGTTAAGTTCTCTAATCACCAGTTAAGGCAGACAGTTAGATACGTTCTCTTACCACCAGTTAAGGCAGACAGTTAAGTTCTCTAATCACCAGTTAAGGCAGACAGTTAGATACGTTCTCTTACCACCAGTTAAGGCAGACAGTTAAGTTCTCTAATCACCAGTTAAGGCAGACAGTTAGATACGTTCTCTTACCACCAGTTAAGGCAGACAGTTAGATACGTTCTCTAATCACCAGTTAAGGCAGACAGTTGTATACGTTCTCTAATCACCAGTTAAGGCAGACAGTTAGATACGTTCTCAAATCACCAGTTAGGATGAACAACTTTACCTAGTGACTCCAGGTGAACAGTTCCCACGAGTCAGGAGGAAATACCTGTTAATTGCTACCTGGCCACCTACTCACCTGGGAAGTCGCCACACACATTTTTTAACCCAATTTTCTTCAGTTTTTTATCGTTTTTAAAATTGTAATTGGTTTTAGGTTTTAATTAATAAACGACAGGTAAAAATTACAGGTGAATTACAGGTAGATCTTACAGGTATATAAACTAATTAACAGAATGTAAGGTAGAGTGAGTCTCTCATATGGTGATGAGGATGTATCTAGCGGACTTTCTCTCTCTTCCCTGCCACCCTGCCACCCACTCTGCCACCCACCACCCACTCTGCCACCCACCACCCACTCTGCCCACCACCCTCTGCCACCCAATTAATGCCTCTTTGCCGACCAGTATTAAGATGGTTTTGTGAGTGTCACTTATATAAAAATAAACTTGACTTAATATTAATAAATTACACACACACACACACACACACACACACACACACACACACACACACACACACACACACACACACCCCACCCACAACACCCCTCCCACCCACAACACCCTCCTCCCACCCCACCTACAACACCACCAAGCCCACTCCCCCACACCCCCACCCCACCCACAACACCACCACCCCACCCACACCACCACCCCACCCCACCCACACCACCACCACCCCACCCACAACACCACCACCCCACCCCCACACCCCCACCCCACCCACAACACCACCCCACCCCCACACCCTCCCCACCATCTTCACTACACTTGGCACACACTTTAACACCTCGGTATAGACCAGACACCCCATATGCCCTCAGGTATCACCCATTATCACCCATTAACAGGTGTGTGGGGGCCAGGTATCACCCAGGTGGATGATAAATACAGTCACCCATCACCTGTAAGCACCTCCCTCTGTCTGCGACCCTCTTGATGTAATCCACGCGTTTGGGGGTATGGGGAGCTGTGATTGGCTGGTGTTTATACATTTGGCAGAGTCCTATTGGGTAGAATCCACGCGTTTGGGGGCATAGGGGGGTGTACATATAGATTTCAGCCTGTAAAGTGAAGCCTATAGCCTGTAAAGTGAAGCCTATAGCCTGTAAAGTGAAGCCTAGAGCCTGTAAAGTGAAGCCTATAGCCTGTAAAGTGAAGCCTATAGCCTCTTGTAGCCTGTAAAATAAAGCCTATCTCCCCCAGGTAAGTGATGCGTCAATTAACAGGTGAGTGAAGCCTTAAGAGTCAGGTAAACCAGGCTTCATTTCGCCAGGTGAAAGCGGCTGGGTGTTTGCTGCCGGAAGCCGTTTTTTGTTAAGTGCAATTTATCCTTGTAAACCGGACCTTCCTCAGGGCTCTACTACCACCATCGCTACCACAACTACCACCATTATCACTACTACTACCACAACTACCACCATCGCTACCACAATTACCACCATTATCACTACTACCACAACTACCACCATCGCTACCACAATTACCACCATCGCTACCACAACTACCACCACAACTACCACCATCGCTTCCACACCACACCATTATCACGACTACCACCACAACTACCACCATCGCTACCACAACTACCACCATTATCACTACTACCACAACTAACACCATCGCTACCACACAACTACCACCATCGCTACCACAACTACCACCATCGCTACCACACCACACCATCGCGCTCACACAATTACCACCATTATCACTACTACTACTAGAGTACAGAGATGAGGGGTGTGAGGGAGAGGGAGAGTGGAGGAAAGAAGGGAGGGGTAGGAAGGGTGATGTAGAGAAGCTCCCTTTATTGGTGAAAGTTCTGTACCAGTTTACTGTGTGCAGGTGAGGGGGGAGGGGGTGAAGGGGGAGGGGGGAAAGGGGTGAGGGAGGGATGAGAGAAGGGAGGGGAGGGAAGGAGGAGTTGAAGAGGGGTGAAGGGATGTCTTAATTTGACCTTCCATTATGACCTTGACCTTTGACCTAGAGACTTGAAATTTTTACAGCTAATTGACCTAATACCCATACCCATTCATGGTAAATTTCACCCCATTATCTCTCCCCATTAATGAGTTATACCCATTAGAAGATACCCTATTACATGATAACACTACACATTAAATAATTATATTTGACCTTCCATTATGACCTTGACCTTTGACCTAGAAACTTGAAATCTCTATGACTGATTGACCTAATATCCATACCCATTCATGGTAAATTTCACCCCATTATCTGTACCCATTAATGAGTTATACCCATTAGAAGATAAGCCAATGAGGACATGTATACCTCAACTGCCCTGACCAAAAACTGCCTACAGGTATATGTAAACAAAACAGTTGGTAATTAGGGAACAAGATTCACCTGTCCAGTTTTATGAGTAAGCGAACCAAACATGGCAAGATGGTGTGTGTGTGTGTGTGTCTGTCTGTGTGTGTGTGTGTGTGTGTGTGTGTGTGTTTGGTGGCGTGTGTGTGTTTTGGTAACGTATTAAGTTTTATTAGTCATGTAAGCTAGAGTGTGTGTGTGTGTGTGTGTGTGTGTGTGTGTGTGTGTGTGTGTGTGTGTGTGTGTGTGTGTGTGTGTGTGTGTGTGTGTGTTATCCATCAGACGACACCCTCCCCTTCCACCCAATGTTTACTAATGAGTTTACCTGCCCAGTGCTACCTCAGGTGAGATCATTCCCAGAACACGGGAAAGCTAACTAGTTTCAAATACTAACCTAACCTAAACTAACCTAACCTAACCTAACCTAAACACACACACACACACACACACGCACACAACAGATAGCAAGGTACTTACACACGCAGGTGAGCGAATTTAACTGTCCCGCAACACAGTTTATGACAGTTAAACTCTCACAGTTAACAGTCCATGGATCCACGGAAGATTTTCACGACCTGTTTTCTGGGAGACAACTAAACAACGGGTTCGAATCCCACTGTGGCCGTGTTTCTTAACTGGTGATGTGAGAACTTAACTGTCTCACTTAACTGGTGATATGAGGCCGTATCTAACTGTCTCACATAGTTAACACATCACAATACCACATCCCAGCCCAGCACACTCCGTCCCCTCTCACATAGGTCTCATGACAGAGTTGATGCCCTCGCCAAACACCCGTCTAACACCCGTCTAACACCCGTCTAACACACACACCGTTGAATACAATTTGGGTCTGTCAAAAAGAACCCTTAAAACTGTCATTAGGAAAGAACTTATTGATGAGTTTGACGCCAGTAGACTAGTACAAACAGGCACTAGTCGATCCATAGGTTACCATGATGAGATGTATCAAGTGAAACATGTATATGGAGCAAGTAACAAGATTACTAGATGTTGTAACACCTAGACTAAGGTTGAGTGTGGGGTGCACAATAAAGTAGCCGCTGTAAGGGGGGGAAAATCAAAATCAAATCAGCACCCTCACCCCCCCCCCCACCCACCCCAAAAGGTATTTCTAATTAAGGTAAAATCAAGGTGTTTACTTACTCGCACTGGCCAGGTATTTTACAGGTGCCGTGTTCTGGATGACAGCCAGGCTTACAGATAGCTGAAAGACAGAGAGAGAGAGAGACGTTAGTTTATCTGTCAGGCTCTGTCTCTGTCTGTGTCTCTGTCTATCTATAGCCAGAGACAGACAGACATACACTGAAATGTAAAAACAGTCATGAACACACACATACATACATACATGTACACAGACAGACACAAAGGAAGATAGACTATTAGACAGATACCACAATCACCATTCAGCAACCACAACAACCACTATCAACCACCACTACCACTACTACCACCATCACCACTACTACTACCATCACCACTACTACCACCACCACCACTACTACCACCATCACCACTACCACTACTACCACCACCACCACCACTACCACCACCACCACCACCACCACCCCAAACAGCAGAGGCACCAAAACATCACCTAAGGTACGCCATATAACCCAACCTAACCAAACCCAACCAAACCTAACCTAACCAAAGCTACTGTCAGCATCATAACATTGGCCGTTCACCTCCATATATCACGCCTTTATAATTGGCATATACATAACCCGGGAATAACGACCCTGTATATTAAATCCGCTTCGTATATCTTACTTAATCATGCCGGTGTATGATGGAGAGGTGAGGGAGCATGATAGGGTAGGTGGTATATCATGGTTCCTACGTTAAGTTTTCCTCCTAACTGGTGATGTGAGAACGTATCTAACTAACAATATGTGGTAGTTTAAGTGAGACAGTTAGATACGTTCTCACATCACCAGTTAAGAGGAAAAATAATTGACCTTACGAGGCATTACGCTTTAAATGACCTTCTAATTAAGCCACTGTCTACCTGACCCATACAGGTAAGAACGATTACCAAGTAGAAACTATCACCCCAACTAGTATAAATTACCCTAACAAACGACCCTAAGGAGAGTTTAATTACCTGAAGGGGAATCAACAACTGATTGCCAATTTAAGAAACGACCCAATTGGCATAAGGGAGAGAGGGGGCATAAGGGAGAGAGGGGTGATTAGGTAGTTCGATGTATTAATTATATGTAAATAATGTAGTTGGTTGATTGTTTGTTATGGACAGACAGACAGACAGGCAGACAGACAGACAGACAGACAGATAGAGACAGACAGACAGACACAGACAGAGACAGACAGACAGACAGACAGACAGACAGACACAGAGACAGACAGATAGACAGACAGACAGACAGACAGACTAATTTACACCCCACATCCCTCAGAAACAACAACCCACCCCAGCCACAACGCCCCACCCCCCCAACCCACCACCCACCCCCAGCCCACCCCAACCCCTCCTCCACCACTCCACCCTTCTCCACACTCTCTCCACACTCCACCTTCTCCTCCTCCTCCACCACTCCCCCCCTTCTCCACCTCCTCCTCCCTCCCTTCTCCACCACTCCACTTCCCTTCTTCTCCACACCCCCCCCCTCCTCCACTCCCACCCCTTCTCCCCACTCTCCACCTCCCACCCCCCTTCTCCCCCTCCTCCACCACTCCCACCCCTTCTCCACTGCTCCTCACCACTCCCCCCCCCTTCTCCACCACTCCTCCACCCTCCACCCCTTCTCCCACCACTCCACCCCTCCTCCACCATCTCCTCCACCAAAACAAATTATCCGGCCATCTTTCCTCCCCTCACACCATCCCGTATCCTATCTTTGTCTGGTTAACAGATATAATAGATGGGTCTGAAGGGGAGATCTATCCGCTGTCTTCCCGGCTGTCGGCTCCATTGAGAGTCGGCTGGCAGCATAAATAATCTGTATATCTCGTTTTATTAAGGGTTTGTGTGTGTGGGTGGTGTGTGTATGGTGTGGGTGGGTGTGTTGTGTGTGAGTGTGGGTGTGTGTGTGTGTGTGTGTGGTGTCGTGTGGCGTATTGGGCGTGGTTGTGTGTTGTGTGGGGAGTAAGGGTGTGCGTATGTGTGTGTGTGTGTGTGTGTTGTACCTCCCTCCTCCCACTGTACATATGATGCATTAATACACACGGTGGCTTAGCAACGCCTGTGGGACGCGGCTGGAACTCTCCCGCTTGCGGTAGCTTGGCCGAGTAGGTAATAGTGGTGGAGGCTGGTAGCTCTACGCGCAATCCTCCATTCCCACACACCACGCCCACCCCTACACCTCCCGCCCTGCCCGCCCTCCCAACCCACGCCTTCAGCCACCCCATCCACCAGCCCCACCCCACACCCACCATCCACCCACCACACACCCACGCCCCTGCCAACCCACCCCCCTACCAACCCACCCCACACCCACCCCACGCCCACCAACCCACCTCACGCCCACCCCACGCACCCCACGCCACAGGTTAATCAGTACAGGTAAAAGGTCAACTCACTGCCTCTGGGTCACTCCAAGCACCAAGCTCCCAAGTATACATTAGTCTTCCTATGTACTTTTAGATACTTTTATTTTCTTAACTACTTTTGGGTACTTAATTACTTCTAGGTACTTTTTAGGTACTTAATTACTTCTAGGTACTTTTAACTACTTTTATTAACTTATAATTGTCTTGATACTAATTACTTCTAGAATTCCTTTTAGCTACTTTTATTAACTTATAATTACTATATACTTTTAATTATTCTTAGGTACTTTTTAACTACTTTTATTAACTTATAATTGCTTTTTAGATACTTTTAATTGCTTCTAGGTATGCTTTTTGGTACTTTTAATTCACTTTTAGGTACTTTTTGAGTACTTTTATTAATATAATTACTTTTACTACTAATACTTTTCAATCACTCTACTTTCCAATCGTTATTGTACCTGACCTTCCAATCACCTCAAACTATCGCCTAATGACATCAATCACGTCAGTAATTACTCCTTTAACTACTAATCCTGCTTCGAGATTCCTACATGTAAATTACCTCGCTCTTTATTTAGACGGAGTCAGCTCACCTGCCTCGAACCATAGCTACTGAGGGTTGGTTAGGTTTTGGTAGGTTAGGTTTTGGTTAGGTTAGGTTGGGTAAAGTGAAGGAAGATGGATACGTACGTGTGTGTGTGTGTGTGTGTGTTGTTTTTGTGTTATCGTAATATTTGGATAATTAATAACCACAATCTACAATTATCACTACCTACCACAATTACTACCACAATCAGCACCATTACAACAACCCTAGTGTACTTGTCACCATCAACCACAATCACTACCGACTATCACTACCACCACCACCACTGCTCACCACCTACACTACTACCACAACTACCACTACCACCACTACCACCACCACCACCACCACCTATCACCACCCACACTACTACCACAACTACCCACCACTACCACCACCCCCACCACTACCACCACCCCCACCACCACCACTACCCGCCACCACCACTACCACCACCACCACCACCTGACTACCACCACCCACCCCCACCACCACCACTACCTCCCACCACTGCCACAACTACCACCCACCACCCCACCACCACCACTACCACCACCCTCAACTACCACCACCACCCCCACCCACCCCCCACCATCCACCACCACCACTACTGCCATCACCATTACCACCACCACCCCACCACCACCACCATCACCACCACTACCACTACTACCACCGCCACTACTACCACCACCACCACCACTACTCTCCACCACCTACTACTGCCACCACCACTACCACTACCACCA